AAGAGTTTTGAGTATGCACAGACTATAGACTAACAAACCGTGTCTTGCATCTGTTCTTCAACCATGATGGCTACAGTAGTTTTATTTCTGGTTTGTTTTTTCTTCCAAATCCAGAGGCTGACAGAGGTTGAGAGGTACCATATAAAAGTTAGGCAGGTCGAGATAAGAACTGGGAGAAGCAGAGTCTAAGCTGTGTGGGTCTCTCAGGATCTTACTGAAACAGAGATAACAGTATAAAAATAAAATGAGTCAAAGTATTATAACTATCCCAAGAACAAGCTACTGAGTGTCTCTAAATAATCACCCAAACAAGAAGCTGTATTTATTTCTCACTTGAAGTAAGTCACTCTCTTATCCCCTTATTGTATGCCTCACATCCAGATTTGTATCGTCGCCTAAAACAAAATTTGCCTGCAGTCAGACTTAAATCACATAGGGATTTTGTTTAAATATTTTCTCATTAAATTCTGCAAAGACGATGTCACATATCGGGGTACTCCGAGAGTGCTGCGTTATAGGGAAACCAAGATCACAGAAAAGGGAGAGAATAATGGACTTTTGTTTACAATTTCAAATCTGTAGGATGTATCATAAAATACAGTTATGTGCATGCCTTCCGCAAGTGTTCTCTGGTGGTCACAAGCAAACAAGAATGTAAAACGTAAGTGGAAATGAAAGGCTTTTATTTAGAAGTAGGTTAGCTGTGCTCCAAGAAAAGAAGCCATCTTCTCTGAGCGGGGCCTCCCCTGGTAATTACAGCCATGCTTTCCTGAAAGCATATTTTGTGGACTCTGTGTGGGGAGCGATAGCACTTCTCAAAAGGCAAATGCTTGAAGAGCTCCCATATGTTTCTGATCGAATTTAAAGTCTAGACTTGCTTTATTTAGTTTCTTTTGCTCTGCATTTGCCTAGCTAAAGCTTTTAGGAGTTCTTTTAAAACTGGAAAAATGGGGTGTGCTGCTTAGGTTAAAAATAAACGTGAAACTTTTTCTGTTTTAAAAAGTTTTTACATGGCGGTAAGAGTTATCCTCCGTTCAAAACCCCACTGAGCTCTTCAAAGGAGGAGTCTCTGCAGCAACATCAGGGAGTTATTAAATACATACTTAGTCCACAATTTTCATTGGTAAATTCTTTATGTCTGCTTAATGTGTGCTAGTTAGAAGAACTGATTCTTTCTGCAGACTCGTTTACTCAACCCTGGGGACCTATGATCCCCTGCCCCTTTAGCACTAACTTTTACAAACACTGTTTCCCTTTTTTTTTTTTAAAAAAAAAAGCCCCAACACGACAGACTGAGCAGCCCGTTAAAGGGGCCAGGCAGCGAGACTCGGCCCCAAAACTCAAAATCCCAGCTGAAATGTTGGAGATAGTAACCAAATTGGAATTACCGCAGCAGTGACATTTTTATAAGGAGCTTTCTATGAATCGGGAGCCGCCTTTCAGGGCCTGGGAACAGCTCAGCACCGCGAACGCACCCCCGGCTGTCGGAGTCGGTCCGATAACGCAGAGAAAACACCATCCACGCCGTCTCTACCGCTATCATCTTCTGGCCTCAGACTAAACATTTAATTGGGCTTAGTCACATATTTACTCACTCACATGGCAGCTAGTACAGAGCAGGGATCTGGGGGAGGTTGTTTTTCTCTGGTTTTCCCCTGCTCCTGTCCACAGGCAGGCTGGAGCTCCCCCTGCTGCACTCCTCTCCGGGTTACTAACCGTTTGCTCTGTGTTGCTCCACGTTTGGAGGGTCTGGCGATGCTCAGTTTATGTAACCTTTGCTCAGAAAGCGATGGTGCCGACATCGTGCTTAGGCTTCCCCCGGACCCATGTTTTTCGAACAACAAGGAAGGTGGCACTACATTTGCGAGGAGCAGCAGGGTGCTGATGCTGGCTCTGTTATCTCAAGGTGCTGATTTGGGTGCCCAGGCCCCTGCACCCCTCTGTCCCGGAGAGCAGTTGCACTCCCAGCCACTGCGCCGGGAGTAAAGGAGGGGGAGAGGCAAGAGACATGTGAAATGGTCTCCTCTCCTGTCTTTGGGGTTGAGATTCCTGTTAGGGGGGGAAAAAACTGTCTGATCCGACTCCCAGTGTAAAAATGGTCACATAATGACTTGCCACCTTGATGGGAATCAGTGATAGGCAACTTCTGGGCTTCTCCTTTCCTTCATTTTGACTTGAGCTTCAGCTCGTGCCAGTTGATGCTGTGCGCTGGTGACTAACAAAGGTGAGGTCTCTTCCCCAAGCTCAGCCCCTGCGCTGTGCTCTGCCCGGGCACTCGGGAGCATGGCCCCTCTCCCTGCATAGGGAACCAGAGACGGCCCAGGAGCCTGGCAGCAGCCAGACTGGAGGTGAACGGTGCTTTTACAGGTCTTTTCCCAAGTGCTGCCTTTTCCCGAATATCTGTGGGGCCAGGCTGCAGTGTGGCACTGCGCCCCAGCCCAAGCTCAGCCCCTGCGCTGTGCTCTGCCCGGGCACTCGGGAGCATGGCCCCTCTCCCTGCATAGGGAACCAGAGACGGCCCAGGAGCCTGGCAGCAGCCAGACTGGAGGTGAACGGTGCTTTTACAGGTCTTTTCCCAAGTGCTGCCTTTTCCCGAATATCTGGGGGGCCAGGCTGCAGTGTGGCACTGCGCCCCAGCCCCTCCAGTGGCAGTGGCTCCTCCTTGGAGAGGGTCCCCTTGGGTATCAGCTCCTCCTTGAAGTGGTACTCTGGAGTGGGAAGGAGAGCATGCTGGGGTATTTTTCTGTTCAGGTCTGGACTGGGCTTGAATGAAAATTCAAAATACTGGTCAGGGTGCAATAACAGCTCTGGTTCAACAAGGAAATGGGGCTCAGACCTGATTTTGGTTCAGGTTTGGTTTGACTGATTATATCCAGGAAATCCTCCCACTGTGCTCTCCAGTTTCTGATCCTGCTGGGCTAAATAGCAATTTGACTAAATTACATTATTTTAATCCAGTGTGCTGCACTCAACCTGGTATTAAAATGCATGCTTGGGCTTGTATCATTTAAATTTGATATGAAGACAGCTGTACGCATTTTCCTGTGTTGGTAAATTGTATACACATGATACGATGTTTTCAGTAAGCGCTAAACAATGCAATGTGAGGCATTTCAACAAAGGAATAATTTAATGCAACCCAGCAGAACTGCAGAGCCTTAGAAGTGGTTCTTTATGAAGCTACAAATTTTGGAAATGGGTCCAGAAGACCTACACTGGAGCAACACAAGAAACAATAGTTAACACAGTAACATTTTTTCTGTACGAAAAATACACCATGAAGAAATTATATTTTGCCTATTTTTTTAGCTTGTTGATTTACATGAATGCTTCAGTTGGCATATTTTGTATTTGTTGCATGTTAGGGATTAAAATTCTCATTTCTTCACCAAAAGAGAATATTGTCGTTCAAGATGCACTTCGAGCCAAGCAAGACTTTTTTTTTGTCAAGTGTAAATTTGTCTCATATATTATGTTCCAGTTCAAAGAAGATTAGCACATTGTTACATTCTTTTCATCTTCTATTTAGTTTTAACAGAATGAGACACATTTCCTTCTTAATCTTCTTCAGAGACAGGAACTGTTCCTACTTTCACAGGTGGAGGACAGCGTTAGAGGGCTGTACAGTTCATCTTGGCCATTAATGAAGCCTGCTGAAGCTGGATGGGAACTGGAGAGCCCTCGGCTCACACCTTGTTCAAACTCTGGGTTCATGCCTCTCTCAGAGCAGCTAGGCACTCTCGTGGTGATCTGGGCTGGGTTAAGGAATAAAGAAAGCTGGTGCTTCCTGTTAAAGAAAATGGGGAGCTAAAACACTGTGTAAGAGATGGAATAATTGCAGCAACAAAACCCTGCTGGTGCTGAATAGCTCGCTAAGGGAGCAGGCTGGCTGTGAACAAGTCTCTTACGTATATTTAAATGCACCGAGCAGTGCCGGGCAGGACTATCCGAGCTAGTGCAGGCACTGGATGCCAAACAGGTATGGTCATCTCAGATTCTGCACAGGCTTTGGTCAGCGGTGGGGTGTTTTGGCGCAGGTGGAATGGAGTATTAGCCAGATACTCCTTGTAACTAAGCTGACGGAGTTGTCTTCACACAGCACTGATATGTACCAGGTACCCTAAATACAGGTGAAAATATAAAAGGCAATCAGGTAGCTGGCAGAGAGAATCTGTCTACAACTCACTACCTTCCCTGGCTCAGCCTGGGCTGCAGGTGGAACATGCTCAAGGATTGTACTGCTGCTACCTCTTGCACCGTGGTCTCCTATCAGATGATGATGCAGACCAAATTGAAAAGCAGAGGTTTGCAGTGCACAGGAGCCTGTGCTGAATCAGCCATTTGAAACAGGGGAATAGACCCTTAAGCTTTCCCAAAAAATCTGGGACTCACTTAGCAGCTACCAAAGTTGATGGACGAACACGTTAGTGTTACCACGTTAGTGGTAAATGAATGACTCTAGAAGCCACAGCCACAGCTAGCATTTTCATAACTGACCATTGATAGAAAGCTTGGAATCTGTGCCTCAAATTCAGGCACGTTGGCGTGGCTCCACTTGGCCCAACTGTGCAAGAAGCTGCAGTTTTTTCGCAAACAGCAGCTGAGGTTGCTGCAGGCTGTCTTCCTGAATCTGGCTGCCCTCTCTGAAACGTGCCTGTAAGTCTGCTCTGTGGCTGTGCAGGCTGGGACTGACCCCTGAGAAAACAGGAATAATGATCCTCCTGACGGTTTCCGTGGCACGAGAAGGTAACTGTGTTTGGAGAATACCCAGGCTGTGGACCAAAGAGCTGTTCGATGCGTGGGGGGGCTAAGGCACGGGATGCACGTGGCAAACCCATCGCTTTCTTCCTTCGTGTGGCTGCTGGGGGCTGTCGTGCCTCGGTGTAGATGGCAATGGTTGTGGTGTTCAGGTGCATGTGCGTGTTCGTGCCGCGACAGCAAGAGGTGCCCGGTGCATTCTCAGTGTTTGTGCTTATTGTTTCTTCTCTCTTTCTCTCCAGTCGAAGACCACCCCCTTCACCTACTCGACCCACTGTAATTCGTCCGTTAGATTCATCCCTGTTAGACTAAAAGAAGTTTCTGGCATGTCATTCGTTGTTAACCAAATATGTGGAAGCAAATTGCTTGATAACTGTTGCAATAACCAATGTATAGTCGCATGTATGGACATCTGTAGGCAAGTAACCAGTTTTACTGATATACTCTCTGTCCATTCTGCATTGTTTATGAGATCTTAAATGTTTTGGGAAGGTCTGTGCTGCCTTGACTTTTCCTTTTGCAATAGCTGATGTTAGCTAACTTACTGACACATGTGTTCACCCAGGCACCTGTGCTCACAGTCCTGTACAGCCAAAGGAGGGCTTGACTTTGTGTCTGTTTGTGCATGTGTTGATTTAATCTGCTTCTTTTTTTCCTCTTATCTGAAAAGAATCTTGCTTTTATTTGTACCTTTCAGGTTTTCTGTCATTTGGAATTACACAGTTATGCCCATTTTCTTTTCGAATGGCTAAACTGGGCAGCGAAAAACAATGTGGTTTCTTATCAAGCTCTTCTGAAAGCCTCACACTTCCATGTCTCTCTTTCAAGAAGCTTGCTGGATGGCTGCTTCTCCTATAATTTCTCCTTATCCGAAGTCTAGTTTTCAAAGAATGTTGTTAAACAAGAAGGACATGTATGGGACAATGGGTGTTTTACTTTATTTCCACATTGGTGTCTGACGTGCGGAGTTGGTTGGGTGGTTGGTAAGGACCATGCTGCAGTCAGGGCTCAGCGTGGAGCCGTCTCACCATGCAGCAAGGATGTGAAAAGGCACTTTGAAAAGCCAGTACGTGACAGAGCGGCGTGTGCCAGCTCGCTTTGTCCTCTGCTGGTGCTTGCTCACATCCGTACTCCCACTGAACTCATGGGAAGCCCTGTGGGTATGTGAGCGCATATAATACGTATGATTGCACTGCACAGCAGGATCCAGAGAGCTGAGCATTGCTTTTGGTCGTTTTGTGAGACAGAAGGAGATACAGATACAGATATATGCAGAGCTGTAAATGGGCTACCACTCCTCTGCCCACGGTGAGCCAATTCACAGAGCTATGGCCTAGATTTGCATCTGAGCTTTCCAAGGGTCTGGTTTGGATTTGAGATATTTGCTCACACCAGTTGATAAAGTTCTACTGTGTCCCCTGCATGGAGATTTTCTCTTTGCATCGGTTGAAGTCCCGCATACCTCAGATTAGGGTTGCTTTATCCAACTAGGTGCTGAGAAGCGCCCAGCTGTGCCTCCTGGCAATGTGTTACTTCAGCAGATGGTCACTTGCAGAGGTCCTCTTTGCCGATTATTTTACACATTATATATTAACGAGTTATAAAAACCTTTTGTCTTAACTGCATTACTTCACTTTAAACACTTAGGGTCAGTGTCACCCTTATAGCTTAAAACTTACTGGGTTAGTAGAATTAAGCTAGAGATGAATTTGGCCTTGTTTCTTCAGAAAATATGAATTGCTGTTATTACAATTATGGTTACAGATCTTTAGGCAAAGCAATTGGTGGTTTCGAAGGCCCCAAGTAGAATCAGCCTAATAAATTTATTTATTGAGACTGCATGTAGGGCTCCAGCGTTAGGCCCCCACAGTTAGGGAGAGTCCAATCAAAGAGCCACAACCAAGGGGAATTTTGGCTATTAAGTATTCCCAGACTGCTGATTAACTAAGAGTTGTGCTCACCACTGAAGCAAACTGTGTTTCTGCTTGCGTAAGAGAGACGAGCTTGGGAAAGCATCGTGATTTGTACGTTAGCTTAACTTTAATTTCCTGTCAGCCTCATGCTTGTGACACACACCTGGGGAGTCTAGAGGCCAACATCCAAAGCACAGTGAAGATGGAGTTTGTCAGAGCACCGGCATCTCGGTGAGCTCAGAAGACAGCTTAAGTGGCCGGTGTTTGTTGGGAGAACAGGCGCAGATCTCCAACACCAAGCGCACAGAATCAGCTTTCAAGGAAAAAAGGTCACAATTCCAACTACAGTCATACTGATTTTTGCTACAAAAAAAAAAACACAAACCAAACATTTTGATTATTTTTCTTGTGTTCTACACAGTTTTCCACTGTGTAGTGCTCTCTGCTGTAACATTCAATCCGTTAGATGTATTTTTATAAATAGCTGTAGCAGTCCAGACTGTTACCCCACCAGCAAACCTGTGTATCGTTCATCCATCAGAACTCTTTGTTCCTGACTGGCAGCCAGCCAGCCAAGCTCTGTGCCTCTTCCGCTTCAGCCACAGAAAGTCGCTTTAACCCCACATTTTGAGATTCATTCAGTGATATTGCAAGGCTGTGGTCTGGGTTTATCCCACTGTACCCTAAACACTCGACTTAGTTGTCCAAGGTCAGCACCTCCAGAAGGTGAATCAGACCAGTGTGGCTACATGGGAAACGAGGGCGGTAGTTCCAGTAAGTTAGGAGCCTCAATTAGATGACACTGATCCTGGCCTAAAAACATGTTTTTGAATCCTCTGTACTTGAGACTCCTTAATTTACTTTAATGACTGTTTCTGTCAAGCATAAGGAAGAAGGTAGCACAATTCAGCACTGTCCTTAACTCTGCCCCCAAAGAAGTCATATTTCTCAGCAGTAATCCTGAATTGTAAATGAAGCTCTCAAGGGTGGGTTTACCTGAAAGAGGAGGAGGAGGCAGCAAGGTGCCTGTGGCCCCAACTGTCAGCACCATCTGGTTCTGCACTCGATGCTGAGGTTATGGGACACAGCTGCACAGCCCTCCCTTCCTCTGCATCCTCATTCCGATCACATCTGAATCTGGCCCTGCACCCGAAATGCAAGACTTTTAGGTGTGCAGGTTGCTAATTAACCTTGAGCAGATCCAGAGTTTGATGATTTTACCTAGAACTTCTTGCGTATACGCTTTGCAGAATAAACTACATAGAATTGTTTCTAGGAAAAACGCTAAGTGCTTCCCAAGAAGTTGTGACATCCAATTGAGTAAGTACTGTCCTCCCAACCTCGGCCCATTTCCTCCTGCTGTACAGTGTCTGGAATGGGTTTGCTTGTCCCACTTGCCCTGGTGCTGGCGAGTTGTGTCTCTCCTGTCCCTTGTTCTCAGAGGAGCAGCCTTGGCAGCAACACGCTCCATGCCTGAAGGACAGCAGGACGAGCACCCCGTGGATCTGCTAGAGGGACTGGCTACCTCTGACTGGCCACTGTCCCCTCTGCAGACACCCTTACACAGGGTGAGCTAAGCCTGAGCTCCTGTAGCTAAAAAGCAGGAGTTTCTCTCCCTTTCTTTGATTCCCTCTGGCAAAGCTCAGCAGCTTGCCAGGGAACAGTGGAGACTCCCGTTAAGCAACAGCAGAATTTCTGACCTTATGTGAGGTACGTAATTAGCTGGGTGATGTATGTAGCTAAGTTTCAGGAGGGTGCTCATCTAGTGTTGTATTTAGGCTAAGCCTGGGTCTCTGCCTAGAGAACGTGTTCCTCCTCACCTCATCGTGGCGGACCAACAGCTGAAGAGCTTGCGCCTGCTGTAAATAGTTCTCAGCCTTTGATCTCAAGGGATCTTGTGTTAGGATTAAAAAGATTGTATGTTCAATGAAAAGGCTTATGTACATTATTAATGTGTGTTGATTTTATCGCTGATCTTGTTGCACTTTCTGAGTAAGCCTCATAAAAGTAGATTATTTATTATATTACAGGAGATACATTATAGGTTATGGCATCTCATGTTAAAGCATAACATAGAAAATATAATACTCTATCTCAGACAGCTACACTAAACAACGTGCATACAGCATATTGAGATGACTGGTTAGTTCTGTCTTTCTGTCTTAAAATAGTCCAAACGTCCTGAATTCAAAGCAGACCTGTTTTGCACCTGTCACACGGGGAGGCATCCGACCTCTTGGTGCCTGTGCGCCGTGGCATTGAGCCTCCTCCCCGGGCTCTAGCAGAACAGCTCCCTTGTGTAAATGAACGTTACTCTGCCTGTCTTTCCTCTTGCTTTGTCTGCAGGCGAGCTGATACCGATGGCTCCTCCCGTCCAGACAGTCCTCCACTATTGCTTGATATATGATTTGTCCCGTCTTGCTGGCCGTTTGCTTTACTGCCTGTCTCTTTACTTTTCCAGGATGGTGTAAATGATGACTTCTTTTTGTGAGAAGCAAATGCTTAATTTCTTTCTGAATTTTGCTCTGTGTGTTAATGCCCTACTTCATATGAGCCAAAACATCTGCCTTCGGTTTCATAATCTGTAAATTGTTCCTGGTGTTGACCTCTGAACGCAGCAAGTTGATTCCTGAAACCGTGGTCATTACTGAGCATCACATACACCTGCTGTAAAAATGTCATGCTGCATTTCTGAACCTGAAATAAACTGTAACTCTTGATGGGCTTTTATTATTACTTTCTGGATGTGCATGAGTGGTCTTCCGTCTGTCGCACCATCACCTCAGCATGCCACACTCCACCTCTGTTGGGACTGCAGTGAGGATTTATCAGAGATGCGTGTTGCGTGGACATCACTGGAGATGTCATTAAAAGGGGCAAAAGGGGAGGAGTAACCCATAGGAAGCATTCGGCTTGTTGCCCTGCAAGGGGCTTGGAGTGCTGCAGAGATGTTTTGCTGGGCAATGGATGAATGTTTTTCAAGCTGTACCTGGTATTCATTTCATTGCTGGGGAAGGCATGTTTTGGGGGAGATTCAGAGCTGAGAAGGCGGCCAGACTGAGCCCTCCAGAGCAGGAGTAAAACTGTGCATGTGTATGTGCTATGCCTGGAAGGGATTTCCCCCTAAAGTGGTTGTGTATGAATGAGCAGATGTCTCAAATACTCAGTTCCTCCTTCAGATCAGTATGAGCCAAGTAACTGGAATCGGTGCTTGGAGGAGATGGTCTGTATGGCACAAGCAGCACAGCACCTGCCTACGGGAGAGGACGTTTCTCACTGAGCGCAACAGTCACTGCGTTGGTCCTTAGACGGGTTTTGGGAAAGCGGGGAGCAAAAGGTGGGACGAGCAAAGGAGCAACGTCCTCGTTGTATTCACCTGCTTGCTGTCATGTTTGGAGA